GTGTTGTGTGACAAGTGACAATTATGATATAATGTGGTGAACTGTTGCGTTGTTATTTGTTTTGTGTGTGTGACCAGTGAAATTTAGTGAACTATTGCATTGGGGTTTTTTTTTGCATGTCCAGTGACAGTTATGATATGTAATGAACTGTTGTGTTGTTGATTGTGTTTGTCCAGTATGTGGGTGACCAGGAGGACAAGCTGTGGCTGTACGAGCACAACCTGATGCCCGCGGCCGGCGGGAAGGCGTACATGTTGCTGCTGGAGGACATTGAGGAACTGAGTCGTACAGACGAGTACAAGTGAGGGCTTTATTCATTCATTTATTAATTCATTCTTTTTATTTGTGTATTTTTTTTGTTTTTTAAAATTTTATTACCTGAAGTGTTGACACTAAAGTTAGTTAAAAGTCAAACTTGGTTTTTGGGGACTGAGGGGGATAATGTGAAACATGGACTTTTTACTATAATCAATCAGTTTTAATTTCATGGATTTTACCTGAACAGCTAGAACTGAACCTGTTTTAAATTAGAATTGGTGTAGGTTGCTTAAAAATTTTGGATCTAGATCCATCTTGTTCATCATGCCAAAGATTAACTCTTCGCAAGGTTATCTCGTCTCGCGATCGTGAACGCGGGCACTTAAGACCAGATTTTGTGTACAGAACCAGCGGAAATGGTTTAAACTAAAATTATCTCTTTTCAGTGAAGATTTTCTTAGCATTTCCTCCCCCAAACAAGAATCTAGAAATCATAGAAAACGAACAGTCTAGGAATTTGTTTGCATCAGTCACTAAGGCATTATTGAATCTGAAATGGCTGCAAATATGAATGTTTGCAACATGTTCAACACATTTTATTGGGATAGTAGTGATTCAAGAGAAAAGAGATTGCATTTCAATGCAAAAGTGTGAGGTACATATTGCCCTCTGTGTCCCTGACTGCTTTGAACTGTATCACTCACCCTAGGACTAGGAGAAATTTGACACCACAACGTCAAGACGAACACACAGGCAAACACCCTCTGACAAACAAACAAATTAAATCTATGACTAGCTATTGTTTTGAAAATCTTTAACTTGTGTTTTTTCTTCACTCAATCTCCAGTTCAATGATGTTTGTTTCTTATTTCTATCTTGATTAATAAATAAGGAAGTTATGAGCATTTTTCAATACTCGTCCTAATTTTCATGAAGTTCTCAAATTAATTCACCTCTCACTGGACACTGCAAATTAAGTCACCTCTTGAAGGGTTAAGCATGGGCAAAATCAGGGAAGCAGATAGTGAGATTGATTGCACAAGAGACAGGTGTATTATAGAGGGGTTTGATTAACAATCTTGATTTAGAAAGTGGCTCGGGCTATCTATTATCTATTTGTGGTGGCCGAATTTTGCTATTCAAAAGGCTTTTTAATGGCTGCATCGATCCACATGCACTTTTCGCCAAAAATTCTTTCAAATATTCTCCAGATCATGGCGCCCTTGGTTTTTTCAGTTTTGAGACAGTTTTGCTGCAAAAACCTAAATTTCTTTATTTCGCCGATGGCTTTTTGTAGGCCGACGCTTCTTTCTCTGTAATTTTAGAAAATCCGGAAGTGATATTTCGCGAGGCGCATTTTGTTTTGAGAGTATAGATCTAGACCTTCTCATTTTTTGCATCTCTCAAGATTTATTTCCCCATTCCAGTAGAATGTAAATATAGTAGGCCATAGACTTTTAGTTGATATTAAAGCACCGATCATTCCTTTCATCGAAAGGGGGCCCAGGTTAGATTATAAAATTGCTAGTGATGCAACACATCCTGACAAAAAAAAACCTATATAAAGCTCTAAGGACAGAAGTATCAACGAAGTTTGTTTTTAACTTGACCCGTATTTTCAATATGGAAATGGAGGACTTTGTAGAAATATCTATTTTAACTTGTCGAGGTGGAAATGACACGCTCCGTGTCATTCTGGTGTAAGGGGGTTTAAAACAGGTGTGAGATCTAGCAGGGGAACGCAAAGAAGAAAAAGGAATGATACAGAGCTTGTTGGTATGACCGATAGGTGTTAACTCTTTGAACCCTGAGCTCCTAAACGATATAATAATAACGTTCATGTGATCGTTAGAATCACATTTCATATCCCACTCAGGGTAGTCCTCGTCATTACTAGCATCTAATTCAGAAAGATCTTCAAAATAAACAGGAACATCCTCTGTAGTAAACACGGTTTCCTGTACGCGTTTTGTCCCAGGCAGACTGGTTTTGGGATAGGGTCTTGCTCACCGCTGTACCGGTGGCTAGGCATATGAGCAGCTTTAAGTGCCAGTGGTGCACTGGTGGGCTGGGCTCAAAGGGTTAAGACCAGGGATGCCAAATGTCCGGGGTTTTTTCATCTGTTGGAATTTTTCATTGTTGGCTTTCGTTTCTTCAATGTGAGTTCATGTTTTAAATCCACCCGAAACGCACTGCGCAAGCGCGACCGGATGTTTGGGTTATACAATCGCCCGCCGCGCTGAGACTCTCAGCATAAAGAGAGGCCGAGATCTAGGCTGCGAAGATACGACAAGAGTTGTGACTTGTGACTTTCATGAGGCAAAATTACAAGAGTTGTGACTGTCATGAGGCAAAATTATGGATTTTCCGTCTTTTTTTCAAAAATCATTTGGCATCCCTGTAAGACTTGAACGGGTTAAAGTGAAACCCGGATTCTTGTGTGTATGTTGAAGTGATGAGTGTTGGTTTGTGGTTCCTCCCCAGGGACAGCCCCAGCCTGATGATGCATGAGTGTGTGGGCTTCACGGTGCCTGAGTGGATGCTGGTCAAGATGAAGACCCAGATGAACGCGCTCAGGTCGGACAAGAAGCCCACCACCTACAGCTCTCCGGGGCCCACTGTGAGTAGCCTACAATGCATGAGTACACACTCACGTACACACTTGCACAAACACACACACGCACGCATGCTCGCACACATGCTGTCTTATTGGGTCATGGGTTGAGTTGGAATCAGCTAATCATCCCATACTTTGATGGACTAGTGCCTTTGAATTTCATAATTGTTGGATGAATCGTGCAACAGCTTTGAGAGACTGAAAGAACCATTCGCATTTTACGTTTTTTCTGGAAAGCTTTGATGTTTGTCGTTGTTCACAAATCAAAGCAAATCTTGGAAAAGAAACTGCAAACATCTAAACATCTGCTTGATTTACAGATAATTTTAATTGGTTTTTCAATAAAAAAAATAATGTCCTTGGTTCCATAGTTTTGTTTTTTCTTTTCCTGGGCCTGGGAAAGTTGAAAATTGTTTTGTTTTGTCATCTTGGGCTGAAAAAAGTTGAACATTTCTTTTTTTTCTTTCATCAGGAGGCTGAGGAGAAAAATCAGAAAATTCTGCCGTTTTCCTCATTTACTGAGGTCAGCATCAAAGATGAGCCCCAGGTATGCTATGCTCTCATATAGATTTTCCTTTTGGTGATTTTGTTGTTGTTTTTAAATGAAGGTGTTTTTATTGGGTCCAACCTGGGCTGAGAGCTACAATGTTCGAGCAGAAAGATCGAGATACTCAAAATAACTTCTAATCGCGCAAGAATTGAACTTGTGTCTTCTGTATGTGCTGGTGAAGTGCCTAACCGCAGACGCACGCCCCGGTAGTGATGTCTCCTCACATGTATTTTAAAGTTTAAAGTGATTATTTACATATATTGAAGAATACCATTGAATTCTTTTCTTTTTTTTCAGCTGCAGTGATGAAAGTGAAAGACTATAAGGGAAACCTCTCTAATATTTAGATAAGATTATACTGCATTGTCACAGTGGGAAATTTTTGTTTGTTGTACAGGAATGGTGAAAACACATGTAGATCAGATCTAGATATAGAATTTATACCAAATGTATTACTCTGGGACTTGTATGATCTATTTATGTTGTAAGTGCCCTAAAACTAAAAATGTCAGCACCTTACAACTTTTCTACCTGATTTATACATGTAAGATTTCATCCTCTCTCCCAAAACAACCCCCCCCTCTCCACCTCCCCCTACCACCATCACTGTAGCTGTCCCCGGCCGACACTGAGATGGACTTCCTGTCCACGGCAGACAATGAGGACACTCAGCCCTCGTCTGCCGTCTCGCCGTTCACCGTGACTGGGGGCTTTGAGGACGGGACGTCCCCGTCTCCCTCCGACCTTGACCCCATAGAGGAGACCTCGGGTCATCACCTCTTCTCATAGTGTCATACATTATACCACTTTCCTTGATAGATTGTTTTTGTTTATTTTTTTTTTCTACTTTGTGTGTGTGTGTGTCCCCTGTCCCAAATGGATGCCCATGAGATTCCCTCGCGCCTGGGGAGGACAAGGTTCTACCTTCTTTTCTTCCACCTGTCCGGAAACGACGTTGGAAAGTTTTTGCTTTCGTGATGTTTTTCAGAAACAAATTTCGCCATTTTGGTTGAACAAAAATTACTTTAGGAACTAGCCCGTTTCTGGTGCTTGCGGTGAAGAAGACGTGTTGAAATTATGCTGGTTTACATACTTTTTGCGTCAATTTTAAGTGTTTATTATACATTGACCTCATCAATGCAAACATAAAAAAGTGATGGGGAGTTGAAAAGATTGTTTACCGAGTTGATGCTACTGCTAGTTCTGGCAAGTGTATTTTTTATTTAAATAGAATTTGCTGACGAGTTTTGTTAACTACGCTGCCTGACAAAATTTTTGTCTTCCATTAACTCACTCACCACCCACACCCGCAACTGTTGCGGGTAAAGTAGCTCCGACGTTATAATACCACACCTGCAACCCTAGCAGTTCCGCAATTTGGAATTTTTTTTTCTCACGTTAAAACCGCACAGTTTGCGGTACTGGTTCGTCTTTTTCGTAGCCCATTCGATTAGTTCAATTATCTTTCATTAGAAAGAAACGAAACCAAATTCGAATGAGCGCAAGTTGAGTTATTGACTTTTACGACAACCACCATTAGAACTGAATTTACCATTACGTTTCCCACAATGGCTGATCACTTGTCTTTTGACTGTTTTTAAACCTTTGACGACCAAAGTGACTCAGAAACCGATGAATTGGTCGAAGATTGTCATAACAAACTGGGAGGAGAAATTTGCAAAGAAGGGTGAGGTTTAGTAGGGCCCCCAAAACCTAGATCTAGGGTTACAATAGTGGGGAAGGGCGTGAGTAAAAAAGGCAGTTTTTGACCTATTTTTGAAAACTTTTGAAAAAAAAGAAGTAACTGTAAAACAAAGCTAGTGTAATTTCTTCTGGGCAATCTTTATTTTTTCAAAAACAATGTTCCAAATTTCAAGTCTCTATGAAATGACTCTTGTCTATAAGTTGGGCTCCATCAAGCAGTCAGACTCGGCCATCGAGCTGTGTGGCTCTGTCTAGCAGTTAGGTTCGGTGTGGTATGGCCATCTAACAGTTAGGTTCGGTGTGGTATGGCCATCTAGCAGTTAGGTTTGGTGTGGTATGGCCATCTAACAGTTAGGTTCGGTGTGGTATGGCCATCTAACAGTTAGGTTCCGTGTGGTATGGCCATCTAACAGTTGGGTTCCCTGTTGTATGGCCATCTAACAGTTAGGTTCCGTGTGGTATGGCCATCTAACAGTTAGGTTCCGTGTGGTATGGCCATCTAGCAGTCGGTCTCCATGTGGCGCGCCGTCTAACAGTGATGGTGGGTGGAGATAGAACCTTGTTGCTCCCAGGGCTGGGCCTGCCTGCCATGTGCTCTGCTGTGATGACTATGATGATAATGATGATAATGACGACGACTATTATATTCGCAAGGACAGCGACAATGACCAAGTAGTTTTTTCTTCTTCTCATAATTATTTTGCCGACATTTCTTCTGATTTTGTGTCAGTCTATGTAAGGACCTAGTGAGGTGAAAAGTCCTGCCAGACGTTTTCTGTCTCCCACTCGCTGTTGGTGTGGTTAACGGGTCACTCGCTTTTGAATTTAGTACAAGTTTATGGCACTTGTAACACAACTAGGTTATAGAAGTGGGGGAGATTAGAGGTGCCGATTGAGAGTGACATACAAAGATGAGGAGAGATTTAATAAGGATGATAGATATTGGGTTGGAAAGGAGCAAATCACACCTACCAACCACCCACTTGCTGTTGGAATGGTTTAGGGGTTTTTAGGACCATGTTTTTCAAAGGTTACAGTACAATGCATAATGAATCACACCAGTGAGCTCCCCCCCCCCCCCCCCCCCCTTTTTAAAATAAAATTCCTGTGCATGCTCATAGGAAGCAAATATCTTACTTGTTACTGACTGACAGTACGACATTTTTCCAAGGGTTACAGTGCATAATGTATTACATCAGCAAGTTATTTTATTTTCCTTCATTTTTTTTTTCTTTCTTCTGCTCTTGACACAAGCATGTGATTTAGAGCACATGGAAGGAACCTTCGGACCTACACGCACACTCCCATGTCTGTGTGCATTGCTAATTGTACAGGATTGTTTCGCAGCACACGCTCATAGCCACAGATTGGTTGACGACGTATTTTGCTGTACAGTGGACAAAATCAATTCTCTTGTCAGAATACTAGATTATAATTTCATACAAGCTCCTCACCGTGTTTTTTTATTGTGTTGACTTCCTGTGTGTTGGCTTTAAGTGACTCGTGTCAAATATGCATGAATGTGACTCCACTCTGAAAAACTTTTTGTTTTTGATTACAAATCTTGGTAAGCTGTTCAAATGTTCTAAGCCTAGAAAGCAAAATTTTACATGAGAGGGAAACTGTCAGCTTTTTGAACAATTTTACGCACAGAATGTAATTTTTCTTGCTTTTTTCAACATTTACAATTTGAATTTCAACAAAATATTTCTTGAGCATGTGCAACCGACGCCACAGATTAAGAAACTGCAGTAAGCAAAACTTTTCAGAATTTTGAGGTTAGTACATTTGAACAGTTGACCGAGATGTACAGATCTTCAAGGAATAAGGAGAAAACACGAGGAGTCATACACAGAGTACTGACTGTCTTTTATTCAAGCAGCAAACATGGTTTAGTGATTGACAAACAGCAATATATGGAATCTGCCTGTACTGCAATGAGTTTATGACTGAGATACATTGTACATACGGTTTGGTAATCTATATATAGAATATATATAGTGAAGCATCAACCTTACAAGAACAAGAAAACAACTGTTTGTTAGCTTATAAATTTTACATAAGTGTGTATCATAAAGTGCTCTACTGTTGGACTCGCAGTCTCTTAGCAGGACCATCCAGCGGCTTGCTAAATTGTCCCTCTATAGTTTTACCTTCAAGGTGCACAAAGTTACCAACAAATGTTATGCATTATGATATTTTAAAACTAATTCAGGAAGATGGTCATGGAAAAATGGTTAGCTGGTGTTTCAAAAACTTTTGAGAACTCTGAGGGTTAGGCTTTGTGAGGACACAACAAACTTTTGACTTTCAAAACTACAAACAGCAAGTGATTTTCCTTCCCATTCCTTGAATAACAAAGTGTATTCTCACATACCTCTTCCTCTGAGTTCATTGATGCACATGAAGGGGTCAGGTGAAAAACAGGATCAAGTCCCATGAAAAAAATTGTAGTAGCCTACTTTAAACTTTACCTGTAGCTGTACTAGCTTTTCTTTCTCTCATTTAAACTGTACCTGTATATATCCCTGTGAAATCAATCGAGTGAAAAACCAAAGCGTTCACAGACTGTATTTCTATTTCTATACAATAAGTATAAGGGCAAATCAAATGAAGAACAAGCCAAGCCCATCACAAAAAAGTGAAAAACCAGATAAGCCGTGGGTAGGACGAATGTGACTTGGCTTGTGCTTCATTTGACCAGTTCACATGTTTTTAGCCAGTTTGACAAATACACACATATCTTATAATACTCCTTTAGTACTATCGTAATGAAACACAGCACCTTTTTAACTCTTTCTGGGGTAAGGAGCTTCAGTGACACTGACAGTTGCTTTTACCACAAAAAACAGCACATGGGGCCCAAGTTCCATCTCACATCACAGGAGATTCTGAAAAACTGGTTCTGTCTCTTTACTTCTGTTTCTATTTCTTACAAAAGGGTTTGTTTAGTTTGAGAGTTTTTTGCCCAGTTTGGCATGCCATATTTTTTTAGCTTCTTCTACAGTAAAACTACGCCGAGTCAAGTCATGATATCAAGATTTCTGTTTCCATGAGTAGATGATAGAAGAACCCCCCACCCAATTTATCAATAAGCTATTCAACTATTTTATGCCCAATTGGCAACATTTTTCTGGGGTGAGAACAAAAAAAAGTTAAATTCTTTTGACAATTGTACCTAGCTAAACCATGTAACTTTTCTTGCCCCTTTCCAACCTTTACAATTTGAATTTCAATTTGACTGTTTAGTGCAAGAGTCTGCCCTACCCCATTTTGAAAAGAGATTTATAATAGGTATGCTCACCCTGAGCAGTCCATCTGAACAGTTGGCCGACAATCTAGAAGAATCTCCGACCTGGCCAGTCTAGTCTACACCCAACAACACGGGAATAAACATTTGAGGTTATTGTGACCGCTAGACATAGACGCTGCAGCGTGTGGCTCGGCGGATGTCATGAATGAAGACCAGGATCTTCATTGGACATCCAGGCTTGGAGAATGATTCGGACAATAATAAGTACTGTACAGTCTAGCATGCACATAGCGAAATCGGCAGGACACAGATGTCTTTTTGTTATATGTATGCATTTTGCTAAATATGAATGTCAGGTCGTATAAGTTATAGTTAAATAAGAATATAATATATATTTGAACATATCGAGACCTAAAAATCTACAGTATGCTATACGTTTTTCACGATATGTGCGTTTTTCGTTATGTGCACGCTATACTGTATAATAAGCACTCTCCTACTCGGTGTGAATCTGTTAATAGCCACGTCATGACACTAATAAAACATTTTATGAATCTATCTGAACATGTAACAACATAAAAAGACGCAAATGTCATTCACAAATCATCAGTCAATAGGTTGGTTTTTCCCCCCACAATTCTCAGGTTTTCTTTAAACATAAGTACTCAACACAAGCATAGCTGCTCTGCTGAGAGTGAGAGACATTTGTTCAAGTCGACGAGAAGCACATCAAAACTATAATAATAATATAATTATTATATAGAGGGTTCTTTCTTATCTGTGCTAGGAAATGGAAAAGCAAGACAAACGGTCAAACAGAAACCACACGTATAGGACAGTAAGAAAAATGTGTGACCTTCCGAGGTACCTTTCAACTGCCTGTGCTTTTCTTTCCAAAAAAAAATTAAATGTAGGTATTTTTACATCCCCATCCCCTCAATTGAGGTCATTTAGTATTTAGGAGGCCGGCTTCCGACCCTGCCTGTCAAGGCCAACCTGAGTGGAGAAAGGATACAAATAAAACAAATATGTCTCGGCACAGAGACCAAGATACTCAATAAAAATTCTCCCCACTCTGGAATCGAACTAGAGTATCCTGCGTTGCTACACCACAGACACCAGTGCCTGCGATCTATGACAGATGGCAACTATATAGAACAATTATATTATATCAGAAATAAGGTGCATTCAGACCAAAGACCCACATTCATATCTGGGGACCTTGTGGTCATACCACACCGCATATTCCTTCTTTGGAGGGCCTCTTTCGCCTGGGACTGGCCATCATCAAACATTGACAGACCAAATACTACTATTTCACACGCACACACACACACAAGTCAATAAGAAAAACCCGGAAAGTCTCCTGGCTAAAAATCTATAGAAGCAAAAATCATCGCAATACAGCTACCAGTATTTTCAATGACTACAGACAAGTAAACTTGGCTACCAATTGTCATTGTGTAGCGACAAGCATTTACTTTTGACTAGCTAAACATCTAGTACAGATAAATAGAATCTTCTAATTAAAAAAAAAATTTCAGTTACCACTATACTGAATAAAACATCAGATCTGAAAATATCACCTTCTAGGACTTGGACTTGCACCTCATATTATCGTTTGCTTTGTGTCAAACTCCGCCATATGTCATTTGGAAAAAAGTGACGTGACGAAGTCTTGCACGGACCAAGTCAATATTCATGTAAATCAAATTGGAAAATTGTCTCATTCTCAATAGACGCCGCACTTGAAAATTTGTCTGTTTAAGATTGAGACAAGCATTTCAACACTTCCCACAACAACAATAGTCATAGATCTATGAAAAAGTAACAACAGACAGAAATAATACTGACAGACAAACGGGAGAGGGGGGGAAGTCGGACCAACGAGTAGCACCCTCCAACCATCCACTAGAGAAGAAAAGACGTGTAGGCATTTGGTGTAGTCATCAGACATTGGTTTACATTGTATCCTACTTTTGCACCATTAGCCTAGAGGCAGCCTAGCTAGGCACAAAAGTGATTTGTTATTTGTAAACAAAAAAACATAATGTCGAGTTGTAAATTAACAGAAACATTTTGAGAGATGGCCAAGGGCATTGCATTCCATGTTAATGTAATATAAATAACTAGAAACATTCAAGAAATCATTTCATAAAACATCTTTGATATTGATACTATCAGTACACACACACATATCTTGGGGATTTCTAAACCCATAACCAGTCAAGAAATACTGATTCAATATATAATAATAATAGTTTAAATATAAAGCATACAATTTCAAGAGTACAAACAAATTGGTGATACATCTCCCGATGCCACCAATTTTTGTATTGATAAATACATGTATAAATTATAGCACAGTTCATTCGAGCCCAGCCAGAACAAGGGGACGTGGACAAAAAAGCAAAGCAACAACAGGAATAGGAGAAAACAATGAGACACAGACAAAACATCAATCAGGAACAAAGAAATATTGCACGAGAAGACGGCAACACTTTGGACATAGGCACACAGACACATGTATCGTCATACACAATGTAACACAATAATGATCATTCACATTTTCACTCGCAGAAAACGGCCCACTGAGGCAGATGAAAAAAACAACCCCATAGTAACAACCCTAGATTGCCCCACTAAAAGTACCAAAAACATGCATCACATCCAGGGTAAGAACCCCCCCCCCCCTCGATAAAAATAACAACAAAACATTAGGCATTAGGCCTACTCAATCTTACATTTGAAATCTCAGACCTTCAAATTCAAGAATTGCTACTCAAATCTTACATCTGAAATATTTGCCTCTTTGAAAAATGGGATTTCCCTGAAATCCAACATGGTGGGGGGTAGTCACCTATCTAAATTATGTTTCCCCCTAAAAATGATGAGCACGTCCAGAAATTTTTCTTCAGCAACAATTTAAAATAAATTATTGTTTCCACATCCATGGATGGAGCGTGGACGACAAAACCCCAACAGACTTGCTACACACACAGAAAGGTAACACTCACACAGTCAGTCAGCAATCAGAATGTCAGCACATTATCTTTGGCCTACTGTTCAGATGTACTAAGCCCAAAATATTGAAATACTGGAAACTGTAGAAAACAAATCTTAATTAACACTATTGTTAAGGAGTTTCTTAATCAATCACTGGTATTAGTTGCATACGCTTGAGAAATATTTTGTCGAAGTTCAAATTCTGAATGATGAAAAAAGGGAAGAAGAGATGCATAATTTAAGTGCAATTGTTAAAAAAATGAAACAGTTTTTATCCCCTTCTCCTAAAGAATTTTTTTTCTGGGCTTACAACAAATAAACAGCTTACCAATGATATATATGTTAAACAGTAAGTACACACACATTGATTGCCATTTCTTCCTACACACATTTTGGCCATATTGACAAAATTTAATTCAATTCAGAATCCAAATCATTAAAAACACATGACATCTCACACCAAATTGGAAATGCTGCACGCCTGAAAACTGAAATAACATTATATTTACACTGATGCAAAACAAAATATTGACTGACAAAAAACCTCTCCAACCTTATACAGTGGAGTCCGTTGAAACTGAAATCTGCGGGATCACCGGATATTCTTCCATTTAGCCGGATTTTCAGTTTAGAAAGGTTACTAAAGGGGATTTTATCATTATTTTTGGCTTACTGCTTTTTGGGGGGATTAACTGTGTTCGGTTTAAAGTTTAAGCGGACTTCACTTTTGTTAATGTAAAAGAGTGCCCACGAAGGAATCAATAATTCATAAAGCTGAAGACAAAAAAAATCTGAAATAAAATATTCACCACCAGTTAGTAGCGGATGGCATCATGAAGTCATAAAGCAACAGGTGTGTGAAGATATCATGGGGGAGAACACTGAAATGAAAACCCTCAACATCGACGAGATCAAACTTTCAAAGGCAAAGCAAATGGCCAAAAACCCTCCAAAGCACAATTTTAATTATTAAGGAGGCAGGCTGCTTCATTCTTGCTTGTCAGTACCAACCAGAATACAGGTATGATGAGGGAGACAACCCATCAGAAAGACAGACTCGAACACATTCTATGAAATATTTTATTCACATGGTGAACTCTCAACTCTCCATGTCCACTGCATGCAAGGTCAAGTGTCGAACCAATACAATACAACATTACAAACACTCAAACACATGGCTGCCAGCTTTTCAAAACCAAAAAAAGAAAAAAGGACTACCCAGACGGCGGGTGAAGACAGTGGGCATCCGCCAAGAATGAACCCTCCAAACCCTTCACACATACTTTTCTGCATTCGATGAATTCAAGCATTCAAGCTATTCAAAGCAGATTTGTCCACCATGATGAGAAAAATGGTAAAGGACACACAGTTCTGCCCACCACTATTTGCAAATCCAGTCATAAAAAGTTCATAATTTAATTTTTCTATAGCATTGACATGTCCATCAGGAGCAATACTAAAACACAGAGAATGTATATTTTCTGACCTGAACATGAACTTTTGTACTCAACAGACCCTTCAAAGTGTATTAGATATGATTTTTAAGCACAAGTTGGCATCTATGCAAACATAAGGTGACTATATTTCACACGACTGATAAAAACGCATTTGAAGAGTACAAGAGCAAAAAAAACAAACCTGTGGTGACATGTGTTCCAACTAACTGGACATTTCATCCAGAGACGTCCTGTTTCTTCAAAGCCTAAAATTCTCTGAAATTTTGGTGTCGTATCTAGTTAATACACTCACTAGGTAGTTATTGTAGACTGGTTTCATCTATCTAGGTCACCACTGCGTTGCATGGTAAAGATTTGAAGATGTCGTTTGGACATAACAAATTTTTTTTCCTCTCCTGTTGTCTCCTTTTGTTTTTGAGAAATTAAAACTTCAAGAGGCCCATAAGTTTGTGAAAATCACACAAAAAATTGCTGAAGAAAAGCTTCAAAGTCCAGAATAAATTTTTTGTGTTGAGACTTTTCCGACAACCTTTTTTGGGATTTGTTTTTTCACAGCAACCCAAAACTAAGTTTAAACAAACATGAATACAGAACAGAGAGAGATATAGTTGACGTTTCTAATCAATTGTTACGCCATTGCATAAACTCATGTCAATAGGTGAACCATAAACCCAATCAGACGGTATGTGATTCCGATCGACAGTACTGTCTAGCATGAACAGTAGACCGTCAAAATAAGAAATCAACACAGCCAACAATTATCCTCCAAACAAGACAATGGTCAGCTTAAGTTCTCAGCAGAAAAAAGAAGTAATTCTAACACAAGCAAATCTACAGCCCATAAATAATCCTAATCTACATCAGTATCTCAATGCCATTTCAACCTGCCACATCTGGAAAAGTGGTCTACCCGTGACATAAACAAAAATTGTGTCCCTGCATGTCGGGGCTAACCAGACTGGCGAGGCCCTGCCAAGGATAACCAATTTGGCGAGGCTCTGCCAGGGAAAAAAACAGTATCACCAGGAAGGAAGGACCAGACAGGACCACAGAGTGTCTTGAACCAGCCAAGGAGCCTGTGGTGAGTATATTATTATTATGCAGTCCAAACTTTTCTCTGCTTAACGCGTCGCTTCATGAGGCCGTAGGAGTCGAAATTATCACAAGGAGAATGTGGTGTCTGCTACAAAAAGGTATCCGAGACATACAACTGTTTGAGTAACAGAGCCATATCAACATAGAGGTCATTTAAAGCCAGGGGGGGGGGGAAAAGAAGCGAAATGACAGACAGAAATAACAGAGGGACATGAAAGAAATAAAATCTACCAAAGGCGCCCTCCAAACATAAACATCTTTAAAACAGATCTTAAATCCACCAACATTGTGTAAAACAGAAAACTGAAACGGTTGAAAACCTGCGAGTCCTCTCCAGTTGCCTCTAAAGGTTCATGAATACAATCACATATATATGGGTATATATTATATAACGAAAACAAAAACATACGGTCTCAAAAGTAGAACACCGTGCTTTACAGAAAAGAATGGGTTTCCCAAAGTAAACCAACAATTCTGAGTCTTGCCAAGAAACAGAACTGTTTACACCAGTTATAATTAACACAAATAGTCCCAAACAATTGTCGCAGTCAGTCAGTTCCTCATATCCTCACTTGCTGCGGCATAACAAAATTCCAAATTGCAAGAGAAAAAAAAGTAATTCTAAATAAACACAATAAGAATTCCCTAAACTGGAAACCAAGTTCATCCCATCGTCCACGCATATTTCCAAACTCTCTCATCATAAAGTAAAGCATTCTCTGAGAGGTAATTCATATATTATATATATAGAGAAACATAAAGCAGACTCGAACAGAAGGTAAACAGGGAAAGATCTGCTATGGAACAGGTTCTTTCTCCGTATGAAAAATCTAACGTCAAAACGAAGCACGCAAACAAGGGCAATAGCCAGTCAGTCGATCAGGTCAGAGGACTAGGAATAGAACTGTCTACTAGTTACATATCTATAATATATCTTCTCATTATCGGATCTCTACATTCCTTTAACATTTATACACTTTCTTATTATCTGGCCTATGTAGCACCTTTAAAATCTAAAATATAATATCTTCTCATTATCTCATCTTTTTATCACCTTTAACATCTATACCTCCTCATTATCTATCTTTGTAAGGTAATCAATATCTATAGTAATATTTCTCATCATGTCATCATTGTATCATTTAACAACCACACATAATGACTTCTCATTATCTCATCTTTACATCATCTTTAACGACTACATTACTTCTTATTTCCTAATCAATGTATCACTTCTATAACATATTTATAGAACATTTATCTTTTCATTTTCCACTGAGCATATCACTTCTAACATGTTATAATATGTAATATAATTTATCTTCTCATTTTCTCGTGAGTGTGTTCACAATCTACTGACAAGCGATCTACAAGTCAGCGATGTGACGTGTTGGTTAACCCTGAGACTGAATGATACGACACACAACTATTCATAATGGCATAGAAACTGACACATATTACAAAGGTCAGTGGGTATTGTCAGACACGTCGTCATTGACGGCATAACAGAGAGATCACCCACATAATGCCAGTGGGCGTATGTGGTAGTGTGTTGTTAACTGTGGGTGAGATGTGCTGAAGTAAAATTTTCCTATAACCACCTCATCTCTCACTCGTTGGGGGCCCACTCCGCCACGCCATCATCATCATCATCTTGAAACAGCAGAGGCAATCTCGTCCACTTGTCATGACACGACCTCCCCTTTCGCCGTAGTCATCTCATCTCATCTCGCTTGTCTCCCTCACTTGAACAGCTTGAACTTCGGCCTTGGCCCGACCTTGGAGAAGTGGACGCGGAGGGGCAAGGCGCGGGACAGGTTCCACCGACTCATCACCTTTTCTGTACGACAGACAGACAGCTGAGAATTAGCGGCCAGCAGAGACGTCTGCTACAAACAATGACGGGACAACACATGTATACCCAAGTCAGGACAACGTCTATCTTCTGGTAACAGACTCCCTTTCTCCCTCACTCCTCAAGTAAATTTAAAAAAAAATTTTTTTAGAGTTGAATACAATCCAACCTGTCCAAGATGATCACCACCCATTGTATAGGAGAAACCTGGTCGTTTTAGGCGGGCGGTACTTTTGGACAGAGTCGTACTTTAGTTGTAAAGGTGATTGTTTTAAACAAGTGGTCCTTTGTACAGGAGGTTGTCTTGGACAGGTTCAACAGTATCTAATTCTCATGACATATCTGTAACAGCAGAAGACAACAACATCTTCTACACTACTTCACACCTGCTTTAACGGCCACCAGTCCAACAAGATAATCACAGGTGTGAAGGACGACTCCAACACTCCAATCCCCCCCCCGGTGTTTTTTCTATATCATTTCCTTCTTGGACAATTTCAACCATATTTTTAAAGAATAATTTTCTTTCAAAGACAGTACCACCTGCCACCAGAGCTTTGCTAGCCAGAGAACAACGCCGCCTGCCTCGGACAAACAAAACAAAAATAACTTGGTGAAAGAAAAAAAAAACATATCATGTAAAAAGCACACTAAACAGTGTATGAGGGCACACGCACAAACACACATATGTGAGGCTCCTCAAAATATTGAAAGTCAAGAAGTTTCTCTGCCAGCTGGGGCAATTTTTTTTTTCTTTTCTTTTTTTTTTGTTTCTAGGCCTGAACACATTGTAAAATCCCAAAATATTGAATTGAAATTTTGTTGTGGTATCTATTTATTTTATTAACTCAAAATAAAAATTTAAAAATCCTTGAATCATCCTCACTTCACTGGAATAAATTAGTTTGTTAGTGTCTGAGCGATATATTGGCTGCTTGCACTGTATCCTCTATGAAAATGTTTCTTTGGTTTTGGGTCTGCTGGGATTATAACCATTGTAAAGTGCACAGAACATGCTGGAGAACTTGGATATGCCCTACATTAATTCAGTTATTATCAACACCATTATTGTCATCATTGGGATAGTATTATTATTATTCTTCTTAATGATGATGAAGATGATGATGATGATGATGACGATGATAATGATGATCATGATGACGCGATCATAAATAAGAGCTATATATAAATTCTGTCATTATTATTACTATTATTATTTTCATGATCATTTTCATCATTATGGAAGTACTCAAAGACAGACAGACGTGACACTGAGAATGATCACCCACTTTAAGCATCTATCTATCTGCTTCTGTTGGTGTGTACATGTTCTTATGTGTTAGCACTTGTCTGTCACAAAGTGTCAGTTTGTGTCTAGTTTAGTTCTCGTAAGAGTTTTACAGCAAAGAGTTTTACAGCACTTGCAAGACAAATAGATCATACAAACACTAGTGCCAAAGAAAAGGAGGGCAGATAAGGACAATAGGTGCTTGATATGAATGAGGGAGCAAAGCACACCAGTGCACCCTTCAACCACCCATTGAACGGATGTGATTGTGTGTGTGTGTGGTTCGCACACACATGAAGAATCAATTGTTGAAACAGTTGGGTTTTTTTGGTAAAAGTTTTACTGCGCCAGCAACTGCAAAAAGTCAAAGGTCAAAAGAGTGCGGCTGTAGAAGCAGTGCTGATGATAAATCCTAACAAATGGCTAAAGCATGCGACAACAAAAATACCTGGTGGAGAACTGAAACTAACTAAAGTACGGAAGATCGAAAATAGTCAACAACAAGAAAAATACAAAGTTTAACATAAACGTGCTCAAATTGTGACGCAAAAATAAGCATGAAATAGAAACTAAAAAATAATAAAAGTAGAAACAATAAAGCCGGAGAGTCTTGTTAGCTGTAAAGACGCGACTGCAATAGAAAAAGCTAGTATAATATATGCAAACACACACAATAACACACACACAAATGCACGCACACATGCATGCACACACACACATACACCCATGTAGCTGTAAAGGTGGCCGCCCAATGTCGAAGAGGAAATTGGTTGTCCTAGACAGGTGCACATCTTGAGCAATGTCATAACATTTTTTTTACAAAA